AAATTAGAGCTTAATAAGGCCCCGCGCCAAAGCCACCAGGTCACATCACATACGCGGTTAACTTTGGCCAAACCGACGGTCCAATCCCAGAGTTTTGATTGGCGCCATACTCGACAAACATCTGCTGGGATTACTGAATGACGCTAGATGGAGAGACATAAAAAAGTACGTGTCTTATCTTAGGACCTAACTGCATTGCTAACTCCGTATGTAGCTAGCACCGATTAGCGTTGGCTGCAATGTACCTTGTTTGAAAATGCAACCAACCAACAGCACCGAACCAACAGCACACACAGCCACCGCCCTAATAGAAATGCACTCTCATCAGTCTTGCCTATATAGTCTTAACTATATGTATAGGCTAGATGTTGTGCCTGCGAGCATGATTGGTAAACGGCCTTAGATAATGTTTTTCTTTTTTCACTTGCACATATGCAGGCAGCTCGGTTCATTAAGAGCCCTTACTTACATCCTACCTACCTAGGTAGGTTCGGTACTCTCCCCGGACCCACCATCCGGGCGGGAAGGGCTCAACCGCGCCGCAACTACGGAAATAAAGGCCGCATGTCCACAGTCCTACCAACAACAACGTAACCTATATTTAGTAGTACTTATTACCTTGCAATCCCTATGTTTTGAAATGGCAACACAGGACCAATGCCCTTTAGCAAAAGAACCAATTGAAAGTAATATGTTCTGTGTCACCATCGATATCTCTTGTCCAGAACAAGGGCTTCGGTATCAAGGGCTCGATAAGGGCTCTGGACTATTTCAATTTCAACTAATAAGTAAACATTTCTATGCTTCAAATGCCTTAAGCCCTTTCTGCCCTTGTAAGGAGGTAGCTGGAATATAGTGCCTGATTTGTATAATCTCCCGAAACAGTGCAAGTCGCCTAACTTTATTTCAGTAGTCTAACTTGGAAGAGCCCTAGGCCCTTCAGTCTTAGGTCCCAGAACATACTTAGCGTACTTCTATCATGAAATGCATAGGGCTGTTGGTTGCAACTGTCGATCATCTAAAACTAATAGCACACTTGGCAGTGATAAACCGTGTGACAATGCTTCTTATCATGGGCAGGGGATTCATTCCTACCTCCACCTCATTTCGGCTGGTGGCGGTCAGGCATTCGTACCCTTACCATGGTTACGAAACTGAGATTGTCAAGTTATCTGGCCATCTCTAGGCGCTGCTGGGGTTGTGTCTGCAGTATTGGAAAGCCACGTTCTTCTACGAGGCTTGCACTCTCTTAGCCTCGCATCCGGAAGATTCCTCTCCTGTCTGAATTTATCCATGATATTCGTGTTAAGTCTTGACACTTAGACGAACTCGATATCACGTCCAGTTTCTCGTGGGTTTCTCAAGATTCTCTACCACATAAACGTGTCCGGATTGACAGTCACACCTAAGCATAGGAAAGTCCGGCCCCAAAGCCATGAGTTTCTTCTGCGTGGTCTTCCTCTTGCTATTTTCCCACTCAGGGGCCCAGAACATTGGATTCATTTCGCCGAAATATCAACCGACAAGTATTGGAGGTAGCTATGGTGCGACCTCTCAATGGCCATTAGGCTCGAGTCAGATCGTGGCCTTCTCATGTCCCTGGGAGTCATACAGGCTCGAGCTATGGCAGCAGAGTCTAGTCGGTGCTGGCGCTACGTCGTCTACGAATTTTGTCTATAATCGTAAGTGTACAAATTGACAGAGATAGAAGAATGGTGTCTATCTAGTTAAGCATCAACTATAAATATAATTATAACCTGCTGACACAAAGCCGCCACCAAGAGTCAGCTGGACAACACCTTGACCAGAGCTTCTACTGGACCGTCCAGACTTACGAGTTTCAGCTCTCGAACTCCCCAGTCTTTTTCTGGTGGCTCTTTGACAACAATTCGAGCTCTCAGCAAAGTTCCGCCTACTTCAATATCACAATCGACGCCGCCTCTTCTTCCTCTTCGTCTACGAGTCCTTCGGCCACGCCGACTCCGACTCTATCTTCTACGCCCTCAACGCCTCCAAGCACTCAAGCTACATCATCTACGGATTCCAGTACTGCATCTAGCACAAGCGCATCCGTTCAACCTGCACTCGGTTCTTCAAGCCCGGCAGCCGCTTCCAAAAATCTCTCCACGGGAGCCGCGGCGGGAGTAGGTGTCGGCGTGGCACTTGGCGTGATCCTCATCGCGGCCGCCGGAGCTCTGCTGTTCTGGAAACGGAAAAGGCGGCAAAATAACCCACGTTTGCAGCCGGAATTGCAAGGGTCTGGGCCTATGGACAACGTGAATGGCTCGCCCGCGGCCGGAGTGCCGACAAGTCTATATGTTCCAAAACCGGGCGAGGCGCCCCCTTATTACTATCCACAACCCGTGGAACTTAATTAGAGTACAATCAGAAGACGCAAAGTCTCACTATAAATGCTCGTTCAACATCTCTTCTTGTATATATAACCCAAATTCCAACGGATGCAATCTATCTGCATATTAAAAGCCCAGATTACTGTTGTCCCTAGACCCCGTGGAAGCAGTGCTGGTCTCTACATCTAAGTTTCTGACTGGCAGAATCACTGCTATTTCCCACAGGCCTCTCGGGCTACCGTGTCCAGGAGCTTTGTGTCAGCATGCAAACTACTTGCAGGGCGAAACAGAAGTGGAGAATCACTCGTAAAAGCGCACTGACCTTTTGACCAGAGCAGTCAAGATACTAGTACTCTGTTTGCATTTGTAGTGCACGAACCGTCTCGGGAACTATTATACAACAACAACTGCGGCCCTACAGCATTTTAGCAAGTTCCAGCAACAAATCGACATCATTCCGCTCTATCCTTCAACACCATCTAGAATAATAACACAGTCCCAAGAAACTCCGAACATAGAGAAGCTTATCGGAACCTACTTTACTTGTACTACTAATTACTTCATTCAACTATAGGCTAAGGCCAATGCTCAAATATATTCATAACTATCCTTCCTAGATTTAACAGAACATGTGTAACGTGAGGGCCACTGACAGTATATCATTAAGCACTTCATTCTTAGGCCTCACGGCCAGCCTCTAATAATTTCATCCAATAAAAGCCTTGGATACAAAATTTTGTAGGGTAGAAGCTAAGGGCATGTAAAAAAAGATGTTGGTGATACCAACCGTACACGCATTCACTGTCTGATACCACTGGCAAACCACTTCACGTGGCATTTTATTTGCGTTGTTACCAAAACACGCCCACTATTTTGCCTTAATTGCATTTTGAAGTTATACAGCTCACACCGGTATTCACTACTAAGCGGGTCGCACATTCAAATGCAAACACAATTAAAATGAGGGGCTTTGTGGCCATTCAATTTTCCATTGTGCCATGTATCCATAGCTGGTAATAGCGTTGGCCAAGACCACATTCAAGAAACCATTCAATAAATTGTCTTGGAGCTGCGGCTACCGACTAGAAATCTATAAAGGCACCAAATTTCCTCGGTCTTGGTCAGGACGTCTTCTTCTACATCATCATAATTCCCAAAAGCACAAAAGCTCTCCTCAACCAAAATCCAGCACCAACCATTCAAACACATCATCTCCTTACCATGATGATTCGCTCTCACCACTTTCCTAGAGTCCGGCCCATAGAAGCAGCATTATCGTACCCCAGATTCCCAGCTTCATACGCCGACTATTATAGCAGAACTAAACAACCCAACATGGAGTGGTACTTCCCCCAAGACATGCACTTTGAGCTCTGGCACTCGTACGGCATTCCCCCAGCATCTGCTGCTGCTCCCGCTGCGCAAGGCAGCGAGGATATGCCCCATGCAGATACAAACACTGCGCCGCCAGCAGAGGCGAACGAAGACGCCGGCTCGCCAGTAGCAGCACCCCCAGCAGCCGCACCGCCAACCGAAGCGCCGATGCCAGCAGCACCACCAGCAGAAGCACCGCCAGCAACAGCAGCGCCACAGGGAGCAGCGCCGCCAGCAGGTGTACCGCCGCCAGAGATCCTACAAGCAGAGGCCCGATACAGTGTGGTCCATATCATCCAATACTCGCCATGGTCGCCAACTCCAGTCGACGAGCGAGTCGAGTCATGCGTAATCGGCACATGCAGAACGCGCCGCGAGGCCAACGAGCTCGCGATGAAAGAAGTCTACGAGAAATATGGCGAGCTAGCTCACCTCGACCGGGGCCCCTGGGACCCGCCGAGCCCAACCTGGCTTCGGAAGGCAGGCGCTGGAGCGTGGCCGAACACATGGAAGATCGATGACGGCCTGTTGACCTTCTCGCTGGTCAACAGCAAACTGCACTACACTCTGACAGGCAAGGTTTATGTCGTGAAGTGCTAGGATGTCATGTCCAACGGACTCCATGGAAGGGGTTATCAGCTCATCGAGGCGGCGCGGCGTTTCTGTTTAATTTAGCTCTGTTTAGTAGAGCTGACGGAGGGATTAGGGCTGGCTCGGTATGGTTCAGGGTGTTAGGACAGGCGCTATATAGTAATAATGATGAGAGACGCCGACTTCACCCACTTTCAGCGCATCTTAGTTTACTAGCGAGTAGATTAATAGAGAGAGCTGATAATTATCTAACGCCTCTATTGGTGATGGTGAACATGGTATGTGTTGAGAATCTCTAGTGTTTTCGTGTTGATAAACGAGCAACGCGTGGCAACTAAGGCTATATCTCCATTATTACTAGTAAAGCACATCTCTCTTTTCCTATCTCCTATTCAAAAGGACCAATATATATAATTTTAGTCTCTTGCTCCTTTTTGAGCACATACTAGATAGGAGAATCTTGTTATAGATACCTGACTTCTAAGGTAGCTGCTTCTAGAACCACCATCCAGCTACCTATAGGACCAATAGATCCTCAAAACAATCTCCACAGATATGAGGGCCTACTTATAACGCCAACAGCAGTGGGAATTACTTCTCTAAGCCCTATGCCACAGCCCAATTCCTGCTTTATAATAACACCCCCGAAAGTGAATCTTGCTCGCCTCATAGAGTATTACTTGTGCCCGACTGGCGTAGTGGCTAACGCGTGCGCCTTCTAAGCGCAAGATCGCGGGCTCGACCCCCACGTTGGGTTTTCTTCTTATTTTTTAGCCGTTGTGCTTTACAGATAACAGAGGCATACTCACATTGAGTGAGTAACACTATCTACTCAAGCTTGAAGGCGAGAGGGTTGATGTGCATTCCCTAAGGCCCACTGTTTTTCGACTATAAAAAGATCACTACCATTAACGGTTAGTATTCTCTTTCTAGCACCATGCTACACAAATGAATAAAAAGAAACCTCAAGGCACTAATACACAAGATACTACATGCACTTATGCTAGTAACAGATCAACCCAACGCGGGATTCGAACCCGCGATCTTGCGCTTAGAAGGCGCACGCGTTAGCCACTACGCCAGTCGGGCACAAGCAGCACGATTGTTGCTGTGTGACAGGGGTTTCATTACAGAAGAAATCTCGACACTCACTTGTGATAATAGAATAGAAACCCACAATGTATTATCAGCAACCTTCCGTGAACCAGCACCTGCCCTGTAGAGCCCTGTATATTGCTCCAAGCCCTACCTAGTTATAAAGAAAGGAGAAGATTACGTAGGCACATACGGTTGTTTGTCTTATAATAACTAGGTAACCTGGTTAATTTCCTAGAGGTTACCCTGTCTTTCCAAAGGTGCAGTTTGCGCCCTTTAGACTTAAGGAAAGAGCCACATGCGGAGTCTTTCCTGTTTGTAGTATAGAGGACTATCTGTACTTCTGGCCCCCAAACTTTCTAGTCCTAATGGGGGTTACTATGCCAACTACTCAGCAATTGTATGCAAAAATCCCACTTGATCTCAGTTTAGCTATGGTATAGCATGTCATATGTATAAAGAAGAGAATTAAATTAGACCTAGATAGCTTCAAAAATCTGACAGATTACAGATTAATCAACTACCTAGGGGTGTTGAGAGGTACCTAAGGTATTGAGAGTGTACCCAGGTACATAATGTAGGTAGGTAGTAGCTAGAGAAGATGCGTAGAAGAGGTAATTGCCTCTACCTTAGGTAGGCACCTACATATCATGTAGGTAGGTACGTATGTATCTGAGTATTCAGGAAGAGAGCACGATTGAGTTCAATTTAATTGCGTGTATTACTTGAGTAGGTATCCTAAGTACTACCTAACGTATCTGAGGAAACAGCGTGTCAAGGCAGTACTTAGAAGTTTGTACTTAGATGAAGCTACTTGTATGCATGCATCATAGGTTCCTGCAGTTTTGGCACCTTCCTCTTCCTTCTTTCCTTCCTTCCATTCCCTACCTGTGACGCAGCTGGTGCAAAATCAATTGCTATCCCCTTTATACCTACAAGTATATAAGCACACCTTGCGCACTCTCGAGTGGCCCTAAACAGTTCCTCTTCATGCCTAGAAAAAAAAACATTTTCTCGCCCCTTTTACGAACCTCGACGTTGTTGTATAATACTGCTCTGGCATCAACAGCTTAGTACTCCTACTGCTGTTAGTATCATTCCCTTATTGATTCTTGAGATGACCTTTTATACTAACTACTATTGAGTAGCTTACACACTGCATCGTGCCTAAGCCAGAATACCTCATTGGCATCAATAATAAGAGCAAAAGCAAAGTGCGCTAGGCGCATCTGCTTAGATCACGCCGTCTATCTTTAACACGATGGAGTCAGTTAAATGCAAGTGAACCCTGGTAAATATGTAGCGCAATGTATTCTAATATTGACTAGTGGAATTGTCATCCTCGCCAAAGGTACCCTGGGAGGACAACTGCAAATGGCCAAATACTAGCAGCTGTTCTCTCCCATCCCAAGATCGCGAGCCTAAAGAAAACGGCTTACCTTTCTATCGCACTTCTACAATGAAAAACAAGCTATCATCCCTGAGACCCATTAACCACGCACCTGCGCTCGATGGGCTTCCCGCACCGTCCTCCCCTCCATTTAAGATTGCCAACAAATACGAATTAGCCCAGCAACAGCAGAACGAGCCCTTCTTCTCGCCACCAGCTTCTATCAAGGCTACCCACCACGCTTCTCCTATAGGTGCTACAACGCCTTCTGTGTGTCGGGTCCACAGAGACAAATACCATCGTCGGCTGTATGAGCTTCAAGATGAACTGTACCCTTTGAAGCTTGTTCAAGAACTTAACCGAATTTCCGATGAACCACATTTCCCCGGCAGAGGGAAGCTAGTTTTGGCAGTAACCCACGTTAACAACTCTATACACAAGGGCCTATTGATTGAGAACGTGGGTACTTACTATACCGCTAAAGCTGCGAACAACCGGGTACTAGATGTCTGGAACCAGAAGTACGGAACGGGGACATCTACAGGCACACTCTCAAGCGACAAGACCGATAAGAGATTTATGGGTTTTGAACAAGGCAAAATGCCCGAGGGATATTCCCCTCTTGTCTCACCCGGCCAGACGCTAGATTATCCCTCGTTGGGCGGTGTTCTAGCGGATAATAGTCATTGGGAAATCAAAAATAGCTGTCTCTCATTAAGCCACAAGAGTGATGAGGGAGAGAAGACAGTTTACGTCGTGCTCTCACGTATGAGACGTCAAGGAATCCATGGTTGATAAGGGAGGATACGCCTATCATTAGTACAAAAAGGGGCAGGCGATGATGGCAATGTTGGACTTTGTCGAGTGCTTAAATGAATTGTTAAAAGGCAAAAGTCAGAAGTAAGATCCAGTACTGATGTGTAACGCATCGTGCCGAATAGCTATTTCAATAGGTCTATAGTGTACAAATGTTGGTCGATGAACTAAAAGTAGAGCACTGTGGTAACGAAGTGAAGATGAAGTTGAAAAGGGGGGTTTTGCCGGGCTTTTACCGGGAGCGGATTGCTTGGCGCCAATCAGCAGACGTCATCTCTGCTGGTAGCTGCCTCCCATGATACATTACCTATGTAGGTATCTATCTCACCTGTTTGTCTGATGTCCTCTTTTAACAAGTATTATTCGGCCTTTTCCATATCTTGAGGTATTTAAAAAGTGGAAGATGGACCAGTCTCAAGTCGGGTTACCCTCTCGAGGTCACACAAGGAATAAATCAGCAGCAAAAGGTAAGCGCATGTGTCCCAAATCATGTATTGGCAATCGTGCCCACCCAAGCTGCCTTCACTACACCTCCGCTACTATCTACCTGCTGCCTCTACCTGCTGTCTTTACCTATCTCTATCTGCTACTACCTCCGGTACTAGAAATAAGACAAGCAAACATGGAAAGACCCAATGTCGTGTTGAACTTACGCTTTGTTACTTTTATCAATACCTAAATCACCACCTATAAACTGTCAAGCCTTCATACAATATGGGTAGCTACCTATCACTATTAGAGCTCCAGGGCCATTAGTCCCCTACCTACATACCCGGTATCAATCTGCAGCCACCATGCCATTCACTAACTTTCTCCGCATTGTAGCCTCTCGGCCTAGATCCTCAACAAAGGGGCCTCTAGACGCAGATGAGTACGCTCTCAAGTTCCAAATACTGGACACAATGGAGAAAGACAGGAAAAGCTAAAGAAGCCCTCAGCAACCCCTTGGCCTCGCCCACTGGCCTAGTATCGCAAGCCCAGCGCCTCAGCGGGACCATAAGCCAGAATTCCAGTCCGCGCACCAGCTTGTCGCAGACACGGTCTCCGGTGCGGGCGACCGCGGCACCACGGTCCGAAACCCCAGTGATGAGGCGAGATTTCTCGTTCCTCCTGAAGCCCGAGATCTACCACCAGCTCTCGCCGCTCACCATTCCGGCGCCCTTCCGGAGCCCAGCCAGACAGCCCGCGGCCGACACGCCCATCCCGGACCTACTAGCGGCAGGCCACTTTCGCGCCGCCGCCATCGCCGCCGCACAGGAGCTCACCGGCACCTCATCAGGCTCGCACAACCGAGGAGCAGCAACAGCACCGCTGCTGGCGATGGACCACGCGCGCATCTTCGACCTTCTGTACGTGCGACTATCCTGCCTGTGCCTCATCGACGCAGTCCCGCTCGCCGCGCAGGAAGCGAAGGCCCTCGAGGACCTCAACTCGGCCTTCTACACAGACGTCGACGCGGAAACCGCCAGCTCCGGCACCTCCTCCGGCACGCACCTCGCGCCGTGGGCGCTGCGCACGCTCGTCGTGCGCCTGCAGACGATCGGCTTCGGCGACCCGCGCCGCGCCGTCATGAGCTACTACGAGCTGGCCCGCGAGGCGCGGGCCGAGGCGGCGCGGGCCGCGGCGCGGCGCGACCACTCGGCCGCCGAGGTCTGGAAGCGGCGCCTCGTGGACCTCGGCGTGCGCGTCGCCGGCGCCCTCGTCGAGATGGACGACCTCGCCGGCGCCGCGGCGCACCTGGCCTCGCTCGCGGACAGCGGGGACGATGCCCGTCTAGCCGTCAGCCGCGCGCTGCTGTGGCTGCACATCGGCGATGTGGACGCTGCGCGGCGCTGCTGCGCGGGCATTGCTGCTGCGGGTGGCATGCCGGTGCGGGCTGTTGATGCGCTGGCTGATATGGCGGATGGCGAGTACGAGGTTGCGCTGGGGAAGTGGCGGGCCTTGCGCGAGGAGATGGGTCGGGATGGGGTGAGAGACGAGATGGTTGGGGTTAATCTTGCCGTGTGCTTGTTGTATATTGGGCGGATGCCTGAGGTATGGTCATGATATCCCCTCTTTCCCCATCTTTTCCATTCTCTATCCACTCTTTGCTCGAATTACTTCCCCATCCCCATCTAGTGCTTAGGCCCCGGGGAAAACACCCAGCATTGTCTGATTGATGCTAATCACGTGCAATACAGGGCCGGCATCTCCTCGAGGAGCTAGTAGATGCCGGACAGACCTCGCATACGCTCCTGTTCAACCTCACAACGATGTACGAGCTCTGTAGTGACCGGGCGAAGACACTCAAGATGCGCCTTGCGGAGCGCGTGGCGGATATCGAGCCCGGGTCTGGAGGCGGTTGGGAAAAGACGAATGCCGACTTCAAGCTGTAGTCTCGAGGATACGTCTTTTCTTCTAAATCTAAGGTGGGAGTAGGAAGGTTGGCTATAGGCTATCAAAGCATGTCTAGCCAC